TGTTGGAAATGACTGCCACAGGACAGTGGTGTTTACTACTCACTAGGTTGGCTTCATGATGTTGGTAGTTATCTTCCATCTTGTTTATCCTTGCTGAAGGCTGTATCAGCATTAACTTCAGATCCTTAAAACTAGTCTGGTCTTCTATTCAGAGCAGCTTTCTCAAGAGAGTGGTACATAGCGTGGCTTGTTCTCTAGAGGAATAACTTTGAACCTCTGTAACAGATTTTTTGAAGCTTACGGTTAGTCCTGTACCTGTTTTGAGTTATAATTCACTTTAAACTAAAACACTTATATTTGACAGTGTTTTAAAAACTTCTTATGTAGTTTGATCTCCTTGATTAGGATATGGCAGTTTTAATTACAATGTATTAGATAGTAGGAAATGGAATAATGGGAGAGGGGTAGCAATTGAGCTTGATTGAAATGAGACTTGTGGCACTGGCTTTCCAGTGTACACTGGCGGCTGATGGTATACATGACTTTGGTAGCACAGCAGGTGAACCTGTGGCTTGGTCTTTTAGAAAAGAGGGAATATAGTTTTCCTGGAACTTCTGAGTAGGAGTATACTTTTTTTATTGGGAACTTAAACTCCAAAAAGTGGATTTGTGTTTTTAAATATTTTTTTTGTGTGTGTGAGTTTTGTGGCTTTAAATTAGGATAACTAGTTCATGGGTATAGTGATAGTACTTGATCTTTAGGCAATGTTTCTTGTGTGTTGCTGTGCTTTGTAGCATGTTCCAACTTGCTCGTTTTTGCTGAGGAACCAATTGATGCTTTTAACTTTTAAAGATGGGTCAAGTTAATATAATCCTCAGCAGTAGGCCCAACTCCAAGGGTAGTGTGCTGCAGGGGAGAGGGCAAAAACTTGGAGTTTGGTAAATCAGTCTTCCTGCTGCAGATAATTCATTCTGAGATAGGCTTCTAGGAGCTGAAAAATGAAAACTGAAATTTCATCTAAAGGCTGCCTAATTCTTCACTCTTTAAAAAGTAAAACTTCCATATGCCTAAGGATCAGAAACATTCTTGAATGGTAACCAGATACAGCTTTCTTCAGGTATTAGTCTGATCTTGACAACACTGATTTCAAACTATCATTGACCAGGAAGCCATCCCTGACTGCTAGGAAACATTAGCAGACCTTGCAGCTTAGGATCTGATACGTGTGGTAGTGGCTGCCTTGTAGATCGTACCAAAATGTAATTGAATCCTGTATGTATGTATTATGAATTCAGGTTTTATTTGAACTCTCGAGTCATTCATTTTGGGTTATGAATCAGCTGCTTTTCAGTCTGCCTCATAACATCTGGAAACAAACACCTCGCTAGATCTGCTGTTTGGTTAGGAGGACTTCAGAAACTGTGCCAAAGTTCTCAAAAGGCAGGATAACCTCTTGGGTGGTTGCGAAAATTTGGCACGCTCTACTGCAGCAGTGTACGCTCTTCTATATTTGTACTGGATGAATGCAACTGTATGTAATTATCATTCCTCTTAAACTTGGCTCTGCAAGTCTGAGAACTGACTAGTGGAAGTCTGCCTAGCAGGTAGGCAGCTTCAAGAGAATGGCATGTTAAAAACTTCTGTTGTCTGCGCCTTGCCAGCAAATCCTGTAACATGTTAGTCTCTCTGGTGTTCAGCAGCAACTAGCTGTCCGCTGTGGATAATGACTGTACTCTAAAGAAGGTGTATTGTGGAAGTTAAACTTTCTCACTGTCACCTGAGCTGTTCTAAAAAACTCTACAATATTTGAAGAACAGAGGCTTGTATTGAGACTTGTTGCTAAGCTTTTCCAAATGCAAGGAACTTATGCATCACTCCTCACGTAGGCCTTTTAATTTGTGACGCTTTAATCTGATATGAGCTTTTGGAGCAGAACCTGAAATACAGCCTTAGGTGGGAGCTTCAGTGCTGACCCAGATGGTGTGAGTATTCATCGTAAGTATTCTTTCTGGTGAGATACTATACAAAGCTTCAAAAAACTGCAAGTATTCCTTCTAACTGGAACTGAGGATTGAAGAGAGAATATTTTGAAGCAGGGCAACTACTAACTGAACTTCACTGTGTCTTCCACCTTGTCATGGGACTTTTTTCAGTGATGACACATGAAGTGTGCTCTTTCCACCATACATGGGAACAGTACTGCTTTTGAGCTGTAGGATGTAGGGTAAACCTGAGGGTAGCTTAGGAGGTCTGAATTCTGTTAGATAATAAAACATGTTCAAGCTGTAGGCGGAGTGTGTAATTATTTCCCCTGTATAGGAGGGAAGATGTATAGTAGGTTCTTAAAACTAATCAGTGGTAGGATGTTGTGGTCTTGCATGAAAAACATGGCTTCTTACAGTTGTATTTTCTCTCATAAAGCTTAGTGTTTTTGCATCCTGTGTGTATGTAAAACTGGAGTGAAGAGTTGCAAGTGGCAAGAAGGAGACGCTTTTTTCTTTTAATAGATGTCTGACCAGAGTTTTTGAGTACTGTAGCATCAATGTCTTCTCCAGAAGATTTGAGTCCAATAGTGTTTGAAAATGAACTTTAGGCAGTTACTGAGAGTTGTTAGGAAAAATTAGGATCGTCTGTATTTGTAAACTCTTATGCTTGTACTTCGGAATTTGTGCAGGTAGAGAGTCACTTAATTCTTTCTAGCCATGACTTGACTGACCACAAAAAATGTATGTGGCCTTCAGGTGACCGTGAAAGTGTCAATGACATGGCATGTGACTGACTGCATGCTCCTTTGCTGCCTTGATGGCAAGGAGTGTCTCTTGGTTTACTGATGTTGAAATGGAGCGCAGCGCAGGTTGTTGCTGTGAGGGGCACTATATTTTGCAGACTATTACTGTCTTAAAAATGTGTTACTGCATGCGTTTCTTTGGGATGTTGGCTGAACAGTATGTTTCCATTACTCTTAATGATGCTCATCGTGCTTATCTGGACTTAGAATGGGGAGAGGTGCCCATTGGATGGGGTAAAGTGTGTTGATGGGGAATGAGAGCAGTGTAATTGTTTTTTTTTTTTAATGGTAGCAGAGTTTTGCAATTGAGAAGGGAATCCTTGTGTGAGTGAAATTGGCTGTTCTGAATTGACTTACGTAACTGACACCTCTGAAAGATTTTTCTCCCCTTATTTCCTACAGATATGCTTAGAAATGCTCTTTACGTTCAGGTGTAGAGGTAGCTGTTCAGCAGATGCTGCATTCTCAATATCTACCCCATAAGATGGATAAGCAGGGCTTGCTTGCATCAGCTCTGTAAGAAGCTCAGTGGGAACACCAGAAAACCTTCAGTTGTCCATGGTGTCAAGCAAGGAGGTTTTCAAGTGGGCTCTTTAAAGGTTGGGAGCCTCATTTTTACGTGCTATACAGGAATCTGAATATGTGAAGCTCTGCGTCTCCACTGCAAGACTCTTGGGGAATCACATACTGAGAGGGGGACAAATCTTGAAATTCACTTGTCTGGTATAAGGCAATATCAGACAGGTAAGTCTGAAGTGGGGCTCCACTTCCTGTTGTGGTATCTGGCAACTTCCGCTTAGGTAGCGGGTTTGGTCAGAAGTGGCCTCCCTATTCATGGGGAAGCAGAGGCCAGAACTTCTAGAGGTCATCTATTCAAGAACTTAAATGCTACTTGTAAATAACAAGAGGCAGTTAAGCCGTAAGCTTTTACACTTCCTGCAGTCACTTTGTCTTGATCGTTGTCCTTCCTTGTCCTTCCGTGTTTTGTCTTTCACAAGCTTCAGATAAACCCTCTATCTCCGAGGACGCCACTGTGGAGAAGTGAAGTGAGGCAGCCTGCTGCAGTAACCCTTGCAGGCTGTAATGTGTAAAGCTGAACGTGCAGCAGGCCAGGGGACGCAGCATGGGAATGTTTCCTGAATGCTAGATTTAGTTCTCCTCATAATAGTTGTCTGGTGTTTATATTTAGCTTCCTAGACTGAGCCAGCCCAGAAGCTAACCTGTTTTGGCCCATCGTTTTTGCCTCTTTAACAAAGTCATGCAAAGCAGGTCAATGGCTGAGCCAGAATTAGAGCAGATAGGCTTGATTTCAGAGCTTTACTTCTATTTCCACTTCCCATTAAATCTTTACTTCCTGAGCAAAAGTAGCACGAATATCAGCTCATACCTGGTATTATGTCTAGGAGGAGCAATTTGCTAACATAAATTGCTGGTGGCAGTGTCGACCGTTTTCTGCATAAAATTCAGCTCTCAATGCTTTTTCTTCTAACCTGAATGGAAATTTACTTTAAACTGAAATATGTTATATCTCAGCAGCATTCTGATTTATTCAATACACTTGGCTTGAGAAATTTTGAGTTTCTTGATAGGGTTTCTTCAGAATAAGATTTGACTGATACAGGTACATAACAAAAAAAATTCTTAAATTGTGAGAATTTCCATTCATGGACTAGCAGTTCTGTAGCTGCATAATAACTTGCATTTGTTCAGTTCACCACTTCTATTCACTGATGCATGGATATGGTGATAAAGACAACCAGGCTATTAAAGTTTTATATAGTGCAAAAAGACAGCTGCGTCCTAGAGACAGACTAGTTTGCTATAGCAGGAGCAACTTGGGAGCTGTTATAATACGAGGGTTAAAAAGAAGTCTAATACAGAGTGTATTTGCATTGAAGCCATCTTATCTTTCTATGACCTGCAGATAGTAGAGTGTATAATACTTTGATAATGCTTGATTTCTTACATTCTGTACTTTAGCTTTGCTTTCATTGAAACTAATGTGATTGGCCCTATGACTTAATGAACATTGCTGTGTCTTAATAGTTTGGAAATGCTAAAGGAGGTAACTGAAGGTGTGTGCCAAATATTTTACTTTAAGGTACAACTTTGTTTTCTGGAGTACTGGCTATTAGTTTTGTGGGGTTAATCTCCTTTCAGTATCAGAAAAATCATATTGATGTAGGCATGGTAGCCCAAGTATTAATAGCAGTGTTTTTAGAGTTAACTTCAAAACCAACCATATATTAAACAAACTATTCCTGTTTTTTAGGAGTTGAATGATCTGGCACGTGATCCTCCAGCACAGTGTTCACCAGGGCCTGTTGGTGATGACAGTAAGTATGGTAGTATCTGAATGTTAACCAAACACACACTTGAATCTCTAACTTTCCTCTGTATTTTCTCAGCTAGGAGAGCCCTTACGATGTTTTGGTTAAGTGTGCTAGCTGTTACTCTCTATATAAACCTTAAACTTGCCCTTCCATATCCCTTAATACTTCTCTCATGAGTCACTGAAGACCCCTCAAGTCACTTCAGTTGGGGCAGCTGTGGGTGCTAAACACATCTTAGGCTGCTTGCTTTTAAGTTAGTCTTTCACTATTTTTGCACTGCGTGCTGTCTGCAGAAGCTCGTAAACTTCAGCTCTCTGGCCAAAAGCAGCAAGCTAGCTTAATACAGCTTTCTGAACTTGTTTGTTATCGAAATTATATGTAGTGTAATCACAGGGTCCTGTAAAGGAAGAAATCAGCCTAGTCCTCATTAGTACAGCGAGGTCAGGGTTAACAGTATTTTAACCAGGAGCTGAAGTTGCCACTGCCTTTTGTGAAAGGGTTACATGTAATCCTTAGGGATAAGAGGGTAAAATGTGAATGAAAGGGAAACTGAGTGAATTAAAGCTTAAAAAAAAAACTTTACTGCATATTACAAACTTGAATTAATTACTGTGGTCAGTGAGTTACAGGAACATTGGCGACATCACTTGTTCTTTTAATCTGTTTTGTGTTACTGTGTTATAGGGCACATCAGAACGTAGGAACTGAAAATCAGGCTTGGCTCTTCTCCACTTTTAAGCAGGAGTTGACTCAGTCTGGCTTACTACTACTTCTGGATTGCTTACTAAGCAAAATCAGAGTGTTTAAATCCTGCTGTAATGGACTAACTGTCACTTGATTTGGACATAGCTTCAAATCAGATGAGAAAGTACAGGTAGTGCATCCATAAATCAGGTGGTACTGCTATTTTAAAAAGAGCATTCAAATCGGTTGGCACTGCCTGGTTCCATATGCCTAGGAGTATCTTTTTGGCATGTGCATCAGCTGGTGGTCTTTCCTATTTCATTCTTATGGAAAGTTGTTCTCCTGGTGTGTGTGCTTTGAACTGGCTGTTCTCTCCTTTTCGAAACTCTAAAAACTGAGAAGTGTTGAAGCAGGAAGAAATCTGTTATTGCTTAAAAAGCCCTACTCTGCGTTTTTTCTCTTCTGACATACTGCTTTATAATAGGAAGAAGCATGTCTTGGCCTAGGGGAGGGCAAGATGTGATGTTATGTGACTGTCAACTAAATGGTCTTTATGTGGCTGTTTCTTTAAATCAGTTCTAGGTCATGTTCCGTCTGCTTTGATTAGCTGTGAATAGGGCGGCTTAATTGTTGGCCTGTACTTCCTGAAATTTTTCGTAGGATGCCTTAACTTTTAAACTGAATTGCAACAGTTTCACAAGTTGTGCACTTATAAGCCTAGTTAGAGAAAAGCCTGCTTGCACTTTTTTGGCAAGCTACTTTTCCATAGCGACTCCTCAACTCTTATTCATAGCTTCACAAACTGGCAAGTTTAGCAGAACTCTCGTCATGACTTACACTTAAATTCACTTTTTGCTTTGGTTTTACCTTCGGCCCTGGGGCAAATCCAGGTATTTGCATTATGAATACCTTTGCATCGGTATTTAATATATGAAATGCGGAAGAAGTAGAAATCGATCCAATTTTTTTCTTTTAGTGGCTGTGCCATATAGGAAGGGCTATATAATGAACACTCCAGCCACTTTAGTTCCGGCTGGATGTTACGCTGTCTATGCTGTTAAAAAGCATGGGTTTGTAGCTTGTGCAGTATCTCTGACAAATGTGCTGTTCATCATAGCATCTGACTCATGAGAGTAGGCAATAGTAATGGAAACTCAAGTTTGCTGGTTCAAGATCTAGCTGTTCTTATGCTCCAAGAACTTAAGTTTTGGTATCCTTCGTAAAAGGAAAAAACTAACTGCTGAGATCTTCAAGTCATTTCTGAACCACTCAGAAGTGCTGAAGTGTGTAGAAACTCAGACCTACAAAAAATTTAGGACTAGGCTTAAAAACTCAAGAATGAAAACATCTAAAAGAAGCAGAGCCTTTTTTAGCAGTGCTTTCAGACAAGTCAGAGCTGCATTTACTTTTGAGGTTTCTAACGGTTATATCAAGCTTTTTTAGTTACTCCATAATTTATTTCTGTCTTCAAAGTGTATTTCAAGCATGCAGTTGTGAAACTGCATAGAAGGGAAATTATTAAGATACAGGGCCAGTTTATGAGGCTGTTCTTCCCATAAACTTGCAAGTGAGATTTTTGTGCCATGTAAAACTCTTCAGAAACTGTTTATCAAAGTGAAACAGTTATGAGCAGTTGTGAAACAGTTTATCAAAGGTGCTTGAGATGATCTGATAGAGGAGGTGGGAAGATGAGTTGATAAATGCAATGGAAAGTTGCTTTAAAGCTTCCTGTATTCAGCAGTAGTACCAAATTCATGTGTCTTCATGCCATCTTTCCTTCTGGAAGATCTTAACTCTCACTGTTGAGAGCTGACATTTGAGGTATGAGTAAATGAATAGAAACGGAAAGGTGACTTCTTCCCTATATACCCCAATATTCTAGTTTTGAGTAGGCTGTCTTGTCGGAATGAAGTTCCTCAAAACTTAGAACATGCTGTGCTTGCAAAGTGGTGGTACTTCTAGTCCAGCTGATGAATCTGTTCCTTGTTATAAGCTTCTCATCCTTGTATTTCCTAAACCTTGTGAAAGGAGAAAAGCTGCTTGTGCCCTGTTAACTTTAGGGGCAGGGTTTCCTTTCTCTCAGTAATGTTGTCTTTAATTCCCTCACCCAGCAATTTGTTTTGGAAAGATGTTTGTGATGGGCTTGTACAGCCAAAGCTTTAGTATGCTTCCTAAGCGCTAAATAAGTGGTTCAGTTCACTTCCAAGCAGGTAGCTCTGCTCAGCTATTGAATGTCAGAGACTTCCTTCTTGGTAAATAAGTTTTTGAATGGTTGATTTCAAAGTAAATAATTGACTGAAATAGCTTTGCATGACGCGTTCATCTTTCAGTTCATCAAACTTGTCCTGGATGTTGTGAGAATCTAAAGCTTAAATTAAACCAGGAATTTTCCTGACTCTGGGGTAGGAATCAGAAGGAAAAGCCCACCAAACTTGTAAAATGTTCAGGCTCACCAGTAAAGCTCTCTTAATTCTTCATGGCTTCTTTTGGATTTATGGGTAATGGCTGGTTATGCCAGCTTATCTTTTAGTGTGTAAATGTGTGCGGGTTAACATCTAGTGTTACCTGTATTTTCCAGTACAATTCTAGCAGATCTTGTCTTCTCAATTGATGCCTGTGAAATTCTTGGTTCTTATTTCATGCTTAGCAGTACCCCTCATTACCCCCCCGCCACCCCTCTGTCGTCGTCTTCTAGGTTGCTCTCTGTCCTTCCACAGGTAGTATGGGCTTATTCTGAAGTTGCCTGAAGTATTTTAAGATGGGTGAACGCTACATTTGACTGACTTCGTGAGCCATTGTCTTTATTTCCTGAGTCTATATCAGATGTAGCTTTCCTTTGCTAGCTGGTGATGTTTAAAATACCTTCTGTTAATCTTAGGAGGTTTGTAACCCCTTTTCTCCCTTAGTCTTGGTAAGGTTGTTTCTACTCCACTTTTCTCTCCTTGCATGATACCATACCCAGTTGTAATGCCTGCGCTGTGTGCAATTAAAAGCAGCTCATGCTAGAGTAGAACAAGTAGTGCCACTGTGGGCCAAGTTTACTTTGGTGCAGGTAGAAGCCTTGAAAGCTGTAGACATCAGTCGCTGGTTGTATATGATGGTTTCAACTTCTGTGCTGTAAGAAAACATTAAGGAAGACTTGTGTTGCAACAACTGAACAGTCTTCTGTACGGCTCCCCTGTTGTGAAGATAATATAAATATGTAACTGATCTCCATGCAGAGGGAGAGTTCCTGCAATACTGTTAGACAGCTGTTAAACTGGTACACCTTGAACTGACTAGCACCATATAGCTTTCAGAGAAAGCAGAGGATCTCAGGGCAATGTTAATTTGTATGAGAGTTTCCTTTATTTCCTTTCTAACATTGTTGATCTTGCTTGCTTTTTTTGCAGCATAAAAGCATTCTCCACAATTCTGTATTACCAGATCTAGATATTCTGTTGACCAGCTGCATGTGAATGAGACTTAATTTTTATCAATTTAACCGACAGCATGGGTGGGCTAGCACATCCTGGTCTCAAATACTTAACGGACTTTCCTGTATTCCTCTGTCTGTCTTGGTTCTCTTAAAACTAACCTTGGTTTTTGCTCCTCTGAAACTTTGAGGCTGCGTGGAGACTAAGCTAAAATAGTTAGATAAGCTACTGTTGGTTTTAGGTGTCTTTTTTTTTAATTACACATGACAAATGCAAGGCTTAGGCTTACCCTCAGGCAGTCCCCTCAACTAAATCTTTATGGGAGAGATCCGGCCTAGTAAAGGGGCACGCTTGTGCTACAGCTTTGCTTTGCTGTAGCTCACTCTAAAAGGACACTGTAGTCACTGGAAACTGGGCTTTGGTTCAAGTACTTGTGGAAATTCATGGGGAACTACAAAACTGAATGCACAAATTTATGCTAGGTCTAAAATGTTGACTGTAAGTGTCTGGATTTTTGTTGTGAGGGGATGTTTTGGTGAATGTGACAGGTGTACGCTACCACAACAATCTCTAAAAGTGTATATCAAGTGAGTGTGGAGTGCTGAGAGCTTCATCCTGTCTGTTTAGTTTGTTGGCTTGCTTCCCTGCAGCCTTTCAGAAGGTTTTGTTTTACAAATAGACTCCCTCCTTTGTAGTGCTTTGTCTGGAAGTGAGTAGCTCATTACTTGAGCTTCTCCAAACAGAAACCGTAGTAAATCACTCTTTCTCTTTTTCAGTGTTCCATTGGCAAGCTACAATAATGGGACCAGTAAGTATGAAGGAATTGATGTTCACAGATTTTCTTAAAACTAGTTTTCTTGTGAATAACTTCTCAAACTGAATAATGATTCTTTTTCTTAACAGAATGACAGTCCCTATCAGGGTGGCGTATTTTTCTTGACAATTCACTTCCCAACAGATTATCCCTTCAAACCACCTAAGGTGAGTAGCTTGTACTATAAATCCATTTAGGACCATAAATTGTAATGTACAATTGTGAGCCTACACTGAAGTTTCCCTTCTTCTGCAGGTTGCATTTACAACAAGAATCTATCATCCAAATATTAACAGTAATGGCAGCATTTGTCTTGATATTCTACGGTCACAGTGGTCTCCAGCACTAACTATTTCAAAAGGTACCTCCCATACTCATTTATTTTTACTCTGCTGAAATGAGTTGTTAATTTGGGTTTAGGATGTGAAAACTGCTACATTCCTAATATTAACAGCTCTTGTGGTCGCAGCTTCAGTCATGTGGCCCCGCATCTACCCCATAACCAATTCATGAATGCTGGATGCTCTTCCACATCTGATCTCCCTTTCTCTATGGGGAGAATGATTAGTTTTGCCAGTGGATCAGATAAGTCTTACTGGTGGTCTCACACCAATAGTAGTAGTCTTGGCACCTCTCCTCAGGAGATTATACACTTAATCCAACTGCTTGAACTAAAAAATAACTTTAACCTAGTGCACGAGAAAGCAAGACTTCTTCAGTGTCTAAAAAGCCACATAAAGTAAAACGTATGGAGGAAAACAGATATGTCCTTAAAGGCTAACTGAAAGACCTACTTTGATTCTTTGCCTTCTAAGATGGATCCTTTTTTCCAGAGAATATCAGAAATTGGTGTGTGTTGCTTATTTTTTTAACAAAACTTGCAATGGCATGGAGTATTTAAACACGTTTCAAAACTAACTTGCTTGTAACATCTTAAATGCTGCTTTTAGCCAAAGAAAATTTGAGGGCCCTATGGGAAATGTTTTGCCTATTAGAGCAGTATTCCTGTTTATTGTAGGTCAGAGGTGTTTAAACGTTTTGAAATAAGACCATATATTTGATCTTCTATCATTTTGCGGACCTAGCCATGGCAATTCAGAAAAATTTGGATCTCTTCTCTACATGGACCATGTCTTGATCATTCTGTTTTGCTTCATGTTAGCTCTGTAATGAACTACTACCAAGTGTCACAACTTTATGGATATGCTTTTAAGTACCTGGCACTTGTAGTTACAGTATCCTTCACATCCCCTCCTAGCTCTAACAGGCTCTGTTACCTGTAATTCTTCTCTCAAACTGCATGCGTTGATATTCCCAAGTTCTCTTTTGGTTCAGACAGGTGACTCCTGTTACCCTTCTCTTGCTTATCATAACTATCTTCCTTTTACTGAAGCAGTGAAAGTTCCTACCTTCTCTCTCCGGCTAAAGTCTTCTGCATTTGTAGAAGCAGATGGAAAGCAAAAACAATATCTGACTTATTCCTTGCCAGAAGTGAATCTGCTAGTGCATGCAGCTGAAAGTCTTCACTGTGAGTTGAAAGAACTGAAGAAATGGTATCAATAAGTGGCAAGTGATTGTCAGGTTGACACCACTTTCCCTATGAATGCTTTCAGTCAAGTACTAGCTTCGGTCGGAGATGGAAAGATGTATTTGTGTTTGATTAAAATGCTGTTCATAATGCCGGAGTTGGAGAACATGTAATAAAGTTGCATAGTATCTCTCTATCACTCTAGATTCTAAGATGGCCAGATATGCAATGGGGTGGTAAACAGTCTATTTGAAAATACTAGAAATTCCCACTGTCAGTAGGACTGTTAAAAGCAAAAGGATGGTGCAAGAATTTAAGTGGCCAGTTAAGAACATGAATGCACTTTTTACTATGGCTGTCATAGTGCATTTTGAATCTAAACTAAACTTCCTGCTTTGGCATTAATTGTGTAACTGTATTTGCATTGCAACATGCTTTGGACATCTCTAGCTCCTTCTGTTCTCTGCCTTGAAGTTCTTTCTCCCTCTTTCACCCTCCTGGCTCAGCTGAAGTAAGCCTTAGGATCTGTGTAACCATTTTGAACTACTTAGCACCTTCTGTCACGCTCCTTCCTACCCCTCTTAAAGTATACTTCCTGAGAATAAATGTGTTTATATGAGTGAAAGATGAACAGTGATATAATCTCACCAATGTATGGCACAAAATGCATACGGATCTAGGTGGTGAGAAAACAGTCTCTTCTGAGTTTCTGTTGGCATTTGTTTCATGGGTCAAATAAAGACAGCAAGAGGAAGTCTTATGGATAGCTTTCTAGAAATTGAGAGGATTTCCCTCAAAAGTAACAGGGATGTTTGTCAGAAAGCAGACAGCAACTTATTACAGGGGAAGAGTGAATACTTGGAAGAATCGGTCTCACTTTGAACAAGCATTGATATTTTCCACAAAGGCAACTTGAATCTCTTAGGGTGGACGTGTTTTCCGTCAGGTTAATACTCTGTGATGCCTGATCAAAGAGTAAGTGTCCTGCTGATAGGAAAAGCTTTAGGATTAGGTAATTTAAGTGCATAACAAGATTTAAAACATTAAGTTTGAAACTTGTTTCCCTTCAAAAGCAGCAACTTAATATTTGTTGTATAGATTTTTCTTAAAGTATTTCCTAAATCGTGGCACCTTTTAAAAGGGGTTACCAGTGGGAGCAAGCTGTTAAAATCTTTAGCTAGAACACAGCTCAAAGATGTACTTACTCAGAATATACAGGGAAGACTACAAACAGTTCTAGGAAACAGTTCATCACAAACTGCTCTCTTCTGAGGTATATGGTAGAGATCAGTCAGCTGCTCATGTGACTGGGTATTCTATTACAATTACTCTGTAGTAGCCCAAATTTCTTGAACATGGACTTCCGCCCTCTTCTTCCCCCCCCCTCCCCCCAATTCTGATGGGGGAGCGCTGAAGTGGAATGCCGTGACTTGATTTAAATCTGTAGCTTTACCTTTTGGTGGAAATAGTGGGAAAGATTGTGTCAGCGCTACTTAGCTGTCCAATATAAGCTATAGTTAGGAGTCTTGCTTCCTCACACTCCAGAGGAAGGTAGGCTACTCCAGGGGGGACTCAGGGAGCCTGCCTCTGTCTTGGCTGGGTTAGATAGGTAATGCCGGAGTCTGAGGACTATTGGAACAATTTCATTTCAGACCACCAAACATGAAAGTTTCTCTCCCTCTATAGGTAATCTGTTAAAGTAATCTTGGATTTACTTTCCACGTTTTAAGTGTTTGCACCTCCTAAACTTGTTAAAATGGTTTTGGAGAGTTGGGAGAACAGCACCAAGTGTCTCAAGAAATAGTAGAATAGCTAAGTTGCCGATACTAGTAGTGCTGGAGTAAAAATACTCTTTAATGAGTAGAGTATTCATTGTAGAATAAATAATCTTAAAACACTGTCTTAAGCATGTACCTTGGTAGTTAATCTAAAGCTTAAGCAGAAGCTTTAAATTCTTCTGCTTATGCCAAAGCTTAAGCAGAAGGCATGGGCTTAAAGTAAAAATGTTCTTAATGTAGTCATACCTAAGAATTACTGCTGCCTGAAAATCGGAGGTGAACAAAATGTCCTATAAAGTGATTACAACTGTTCTTAACTGTTCTTGAGAAACACCTCGCTCTCTTGATTTTGGCAAGTGGTGTGCTAAAGTTTGATGTTGACCAAAGTACCCTTTAGAAAAGGTCAGGCGAACTTGCCCTATCCCTTCCTCCTTCCCCGGTATTTGTGTTTTGACAGTGATTTTTAACTAATGAACTATGGAGTTTATATTCAGTGCATTGAGAGACTGCGTGTCAAACGGCAGTGAGTAACTTCAGTCTTGCTTCATGAATTCGGCTTAACACTGTTCACTCTCACATGCTCAATGCAATGTGAATTTTGTGATGTTGTCCTTACAGGTATAGGTGTTTAACAATCACTTTTAAGACTTACTGGGAATTCCCAAGTACTCAGCAGACTTTAAATGAACTTCATCTTCCTAGGACTCAGTGTTTCTGTAGCTCAAATCACTAGATGCCTCAAAAAATGAGGAACTTGGTTACTGATCATCCTTTTGGCTTTTGATTTCTTTTGTAACGCTTACCCTAATGTAGGGGGCAGGGAAGGAGGAGTCATGGGTTTACCACAAAACACTGATTTGTGTGTGTGCTGAGCTAGGGTTTTATGGGAAACATTCTAGCACTTCCAACCCCTTTTGTGAGCTTTACGTAGTTATTTGTGTAACTTTCCAGGTGTGTGGCACTGGGTAAAACTTAATCTCTCTTCTCTCATCATCCAGAAATTGTTGAACTGGCTTAGCAGGAATTCAAGTTACTTTGGAGCAAGAAGCTTAAACTACTCAGGTTTAAAGGTACACTTCCTGTAAGACTGGGTAAGATTGCTGAAAGTCTGAAATGGGACTATGTTCAAAAAGTACGATCCACCTTAGGCAGAGTCCAGGGTTACTCTTAGGAGTGTTTACCCAGATGCATCTAGTCCATTCAGTCACAAGCAAGTCATTCAGAAGCTAGCCTCTGAAGTTAGCCCTGATAGAGCAGTCTCTTCAGCTGTAGTCTTAGGCTACATGCCTCTAACTTCTTGTCAGCCCTGATGAAAGGGTGCTGATACAGCAACTGTATGCCTCAAAAGTTTGAAAGCTCTGGCATTTGAAACTCAAATATGGTTCTCATATAGGTGATCCTTCCAGGAGCTGTGTCTCTTACCTTTTTGGAGGAATAGAGTGCCATTCTGAAGAACATGGGCTACAGCTATTTTTGCTCCTTCCTTATGAGACAGGGTCAGCAAATTTTGTGCATTTTTTTGTGTATGAGGCAAAAATGACTCTCCTTGAAACATGATTAGCGCAACCTCAGCTGTAATGTGAGATTAAGGAATTTAGCTTTATATTGCTATTTTAACTTTTCATTTCGTACTTTAGTCTGCTTGGTATCACATTAGGCAGCTGGTTGCTCGTGTGACACCCTTGCTTCCAGGGAAATGGTTTCAACCGAGTCAAACCCTTTCTACTCGCAAGTTTCCCAGAATATCTGCTTCTCTGAGCTTTTCTTGCATGTTAAGTCACGTTGTGGCTATGCCTGTGCTAGACACAAGCACTGTCATTCAACTTCTGCCTTGTGATACTCCCAGGAGCCCTGACAAGTTCAGCCCCTCGTGTGAAGACTATACAGCCACGTAAATGGCAGGATTTTTCCTTCCCACTTAGTCTTTTCCAGGTGTTTGAGAACTTGCTAACATTCTACCAGTCTTTCAACCATCATGCACTTACTCTGGTCTTGTCCCCAAAAAGAAAGCTCGTAAGTCTTCGATGTGGTAGTCCCTCAGACATGTACCTTAAT